CATAGAATACAATCTTATTCTCAGACTTGATTAATTTCAAAGATTCAATCTGCAGATTCAATGATGTATATGTTCTATACAGTTAACTAATAGGAAGAAAACAGTTCATACAATTCTACTAACTGATATGAGAAGAACATTTCACATCTCTGATATAGAAGAATTAAATCTGCTTATACATTAACAAGCAAAGAGAATGATTCACAAGACCTCATCTGAAAGCATTCTGTATGTCATACAGGACCTGAAAGTGGAGAAAATCAAGATAAAGAATATGAAAGAGAACAAGTGTATGAAGAAGCTTCTGAAGAAGTATGAAAAGATCTTTCAAACAGATCTTTCAAACAGATCTTTCACTGAAATTGCTGCTGAAATGAGGATTTTTACATGAGATTAACACAGAGGATGCAAAACCAGTTAATCAGAATGTGTATTCTCTGTCACAAACACATCTCAAAGAACAGAAGTGTCAGATCACAGATCTTCTAGAATGTGATCTCATATAATCCTCATTAAGCATGTGAGACTTTTCAGTTCTATTTGTGAAAAAGATGGATGAGAAGTGATGAATATATATTGATTATTAAGCACTCAATAAGCTTATAATCAAGAATGAATATTCACTGTCACATATTCAATAACAGTTGAATACAGTTGAAAATACCTGATATCTATCAAAGATTAATCTTCTCTCAGAATACTGACAGATTTATGTAGATGAACTGTCAGTTCTGTGAACTGTGTTTAATATACAATGAGAAAAGTTCAAATTCCTGATAATATCATTTGATCTGATAAATATATCTGTTATCTTTTAAATAATGATGAATACAATTCTTCATAAACAGAATAAAACCTCATGTCTTATATATCTCAATAATATTCTAGTCTTTTCAAACTCATATGATGAATATCTGAAGTATCTTGATGAAGTGCTTACAACTCTGACAGAGTATAAGCTCTATACTAAATTAATAAAGTGTGTGTTTGAAATAGAAGAGTTAGAGTTCATAGAATATGTAGTGAGTGATGACTGTATACATCTCATTCTAAAGAAATTGAATGTTGTAGTGAATTGACTGCAGCTGAGAAATATACATCATATATAACAGTTTCTTGAGTTAGTCTCATATTACTGTAGATTCATCAAAGATTTTGCATGAATATCTGCATCACTCTCAGATCTCTTAAGAGAAATGAATACAAATCTGTGAAAGAAGAAGTTTTATTCAATCATCTGAAATGCTGTGTATGAAGAGGCTTTTCTCACACTGAGAAAATGTGTAATAACATTCTCAGTGTTTATTCAATCAGATTATGATAAATCTTTCTACATTGAGATGAATACATCTGAATGAGCTATCAAAGACACTCTTCTACAGATGAGCAAGGACAGCAAGCTGCACTCAGTGATATATGATGATAGAAAACTATCAGGCGCTGAGCTCAATTATTCAGTGTATGAAAAGAAATTGCTAGTGATCAAGTATGCACTGATGTTGTGAAATAGATATATCAACAACAGACATATAACAACAGTGATCACAGATTATAAAAGCCTCATCTATCTATAATTGATGATAAAACCTTTCAAATACTTAGCATGTTGAATCTTAAAGTTTCAAGTGTATAATCTTCATATTAAATACTGAAAGAGATTGAACACTGTGATACCTGATATAATCAGTTGCAAACCTGATTTCATGAATGAGAGTTCTGTGAACCAGATATAAGAGAAGTTTGTATTAAACATGCTAAGAAGATGCAAGGAATCAGAATGAGTAAATACAATGATCTCTTGCTTAGAGAATGACAAGATATCAGATAACAAGTATCTTATGAAAGTAGTAGAAGAGATGCTTTTAAACTTTAAGCTGAGAAAATTAAAAAATGATGTTATGCTTTATCACAATCTAGAATATGCAGAAGCTCTCTATCTAGAATATTCATTTAAATATGACTTGATGACTTGCATGCACAAAGAATTCAGTCACTTAGAAAGCTCTGAACTCATGAGTGTACTTGAATCAAGAGTATACTAGCTAAGCATGGCTGAGGACATTCAGATATATACTTACAAGTGTCTGAATTATCAGGTTGTGAAAGAATCTAAGAAAGGGTTAAAATACAAGAAAGTACAACATCAGATGAAGTATAAGATACAACTGTTCAAATGATAAGAGATGAACCTCATAGACATATTACTGTGAATATCAAATGAAAATTGATGAATAATCACTGCTATTGATTACACTACTGGCTGATCAGTTGTAAAAGCAGTTTCAGAGATAACAGAGAAGATGATAGTGAAGTTCCTATATAATGAGATCTATGTTAACTATGAAATGCTGCATGAGATTCTAACTGATAACAGTGTGAATCTCATGAGAGAAGCAGTGAGGCATTTTATGAGTCAGTTACAGACAAGACATTGTAGAACAATATCATATCATTCATGAATAAATGAGAAGATGAAACACTTGAATAAAATCTTAGACAACATGCTGATGAAATATCTAGTGAGCAAGTCTATGAGACTATGAGATGAATATCTCAGGCAGGTACTATTGGTCACACAGATTTAACAGTATGCAGTCTCCAAGCATTCATCATTCTACCTGTTGTATGAATTGTATCCACACATCCTGAAGAATGCTTCAGAAAAGGTGGAAGAGAGAACAGCAGTTGTGAACGCAACAGTTATGAACACAGCAGAAACAGCAGTTACAGATGCAGCAGTAGCAGTTGCAGATACAACAGTTATGAATGTGAAATCAAGATTGAAAGAGATCAGTCACATACATGCAAAAGCTAATGAGTTACTTCTGAACTGAGTAATTCAATTGAAAAGAATATGAGACTCACTAGTTAAGAAATCAAGTCTTAAGATGAGAACATGAATTCTTGTATATAATGAGAGTTCTGAGAAGTTTCAATCTAGATAATTTGAACTCTATAAAATACTCAAATCACATTCTCTGAGAACTTACATATTGAAGAAATCAGAGAGATGAGTCTTACATAACTTAATAAATGATTCATGACTTGTAAAAGTAAAGATGTAAGACTTGAGCAGATTATAATTATTCACAGCACTATTATCAGCATTGAAAAAGAAGAGACTTATAATTGAAAAGTCTCACAAAGTAAGAGAAATCATAGACACTTATGAATCAGACAATCTCACTTATTCTGACCTTTTCATAATTATAAGAAAAGAATGAAAAGAAATGAAGAAATCAGATGAACATCACACTTTAATAAGTGATGAGATTGTAGCTGATCATATGATAACATGCTGCAGATAGCAGATATAACACAGTAAAGAGCAGTCTCAAAGCAGCAGACTTGCATATAAATCAGATCACAGAAGAAAAAGGAATTCAGAGTTGAATTTAACTGTTTACATTAATTCAATTGCAGAGACAATAGAGGATGAAGCATCTGAAACATCTGCAGACACATGAGATCAAGTCATCTCAACCTCTGAGAATGCTCAGAGATTGAGTGAGGTTAGTTTTGATAGACTGTTTACTGTAGTGATCTGAGTGAGTGAAGAGAGACAGTATAATACATAAGATAGAATTATAAAAGATAAAAGCTGCTGAACCTAGTCACTGAACACTGTATCATATAGAGATTATATAAGAGTAGTGACTAGCAGATAAAGAAAAAGTGTAAGAAAAGAAAAGAGATAATGAATTGATTATTAACTGTAAAGATTGGCTGTAAAAGACAAATGTTATCATATATATCTCATTCATTTTCATATATGACATATTTAATCTATTTTCAACATCACATCACCTGAAAAACATCAAAAATAAAGGAAATCTTAAAACTCAAGATTCATAAGAAATTCAAGAGCTGTAAGTCACTCTTATAATAACACTGTATATATCTCTGATTTCTCTACTGCTCTATGTACAATATTAATGTCATTTATTACAAGATTGACTGAAATGTCAATATAGAAATGTGTATGCATACATGTAGAAAAATTGAAGAAGAGTGCAGAATCTGCAGAATCAGAAGCCAGAACAGAGAAAGCAGAGACAGAAGAAACAGAAGAAGAAGAAGATACAGAATCAGATAAACAACAGTGAGAGTCACTCAGAGCTGAACACTTCTAATCTGATGTGTGCATAATCTTTCTCACAGAAGAGGGAGAGAAAGTAATAGAAGAAGCTTAAGAGTGAGAGAGAGTAGTCTCAGCAGTGTTATCATCTTCAATTAGAATGATCTCTAATGCTGAAGCAACTAAGAATCATTATTAGTATATGAAAATTGCAAAATCAGAGATGAGAACAGTTACTGAATGAACACCTGCTGATTCTAAAGTTGTATATATAATTACAACACACATGAGACTTCTCAGAAAGAGAGAGAGAGACACAGAGAAATGCAGAAAGCAGAATGCAGTATATGAACAGCTCATTCTCATGATAATATCTCAGACAAGATGTATGAGTCTCATGTCTGCAAGTGTAAAAGAGTACAATATCTGCATTTCTGTTTCTGAAAACACAGATATCTTTTGTCTGCATTATGAAGTCAGATAACAGACATCAGAGAATAAGCTGATACAGATCTATCATTCTGAAGAAATTCATCAGAGTGAATGTCTCTGCAATATTAAATTTTATAGTTATAAAAAGCTTCTTGATATCTGTGAATATCATGACTTTATGCATAGTAAAACTCATAATAATTTTTCCTAAGAACAGAAAAATCAGTATCAGAAAGAAAAGATGGAAAAGAAAAAGACTTATAATCTCAACACTGTTAAGAAGAGAGATGATTCTCTGATATAAATGAACAATTGTCTCATTATGAATATTTAAAATGAATATAATAATCAGTGTCTGTAACTGAGCTTCAGATAGTTATGTTATATACAGTCTTTATACAATAAATTATTCTGAGAGTTGACAAGAAGAGTGAGAGTGTATATACTGAGAAACATAATTTATTAAGTCTACATAACATCTTCTTGAAACAGGGAGAGCTGATAATGAAAGCAGAGATGATAAAATCAGAAGTAGCAGAAGTGAGAGTTGCAGGAACAGAAGTAGCAGAAGCAGGAGAATCAGACACAGAGACAGATGTAGAAGATTGAGAGAGAGCAGCAGAGAAAGAAGTGACAGAAGAGACAGAGAGAGACATAGAAGACTCAGTCACACATGACACAGACAATTTCTTTATTATCATGTTCTTCAAGTTCTTGATCAATAATTCAATATTGAGTTCACTATTATTAGTGAATGTGAATCTGTCAATGTGTGAAGATTCTATGTAAATAAAAACAAATATATCAGCACCTGCATTCATGTAAAATTATGTCAGAAAACACAATCAGAAACTCTCTGAGAAGAAAAATAGTCAAGAGTGTATAAGAAGATGAAGAAGATGTATCATTTATGATAATATATTCTGATAATTGTTAGAAGATAAACAAGTTCTGATCATGTTTCATAATGTGTTATACTTACCGCTAATGAACTGCCTGATATGAGCACTATGATAATGCGTGTTATGAAAACAGAGAATCATTGTCAGAAATGTGTATAATGTAATAGACAGACAGATAGAAAGAGTTGAATAGAAGAAGAGATAGAAATCTTGAATGATGATAATGTTCAATGATAATGATAATGAAGAAGATGATTGAAGAATGAGAAAAGTTAGTGAATGAGAGATGTAATATAGTGAAAGTTTCTTTAAAGAGTGTATGCAGAATGCTAGCTGAATCAGAGATAGATCACAAGATTATAAACACTAGTAGCACACTAATCCGCATGAAGCTAGGGCGGATCTCATGATCACATGAGCATGACTGAATCTGATGAGGGAGGATGTGGTTCGGAAGAATGTATAACTGTTGAATAATAATGCAGCTGCTTCTGAACTTGCTTATGAGTGTAAAGGGGCCATAGCGGCCACTAATTAATTTAGCGTACGATATTACAATATATAAGAAGCCGGCGTATGCCTGTAATCGTATGCTGGCTCAAGCAACCTTTGAATCACAGATTGAAACTTTTGAATAAAATTTATAAAAAGATGATAAAAAGTATTCACTATATTCAGAAGCAGTAGATAAAATACTATAATTAAAAACATCTTTTAATGAAGTTCTCAATAGAGAATTAAGTACTACTTTTAACAAAGAATATCAAGACAATGAGACTATGTAAGAAGCTCAGTAAGTGATGACTAGAATCTTTCTCAGTAATAAGAGTGATAAGTAAGCAGATATATAAGTTAAAATTACTCTCAGAATTGAAATCAATACATTCTATTTTTCATATTTTCTATTTAAAGCTTTATAAGCAATGTTCTGAGACAGAGCTGTCTCAGCTGAATAATATTAAGATTGAGAATAATACTGAATATTTTATAAAGAAAATATTAAATAAGTGAATGTATTATAGCAAGCTTCAATATCTTATTAAATAACAGAATTATTCATTATCAGAGAATTCATGAGAACTGCTTGAGTATTTGAAAAATGCTGAGAAAGAAATTATAAGCTATGAAACAGCTAGTAGAGATCACTCTGTTATATATCAGAGATATTGAATAAGAAATTTCACTTAAGACTTTCTATTTTTCTTAAAGAATTTTTTAGAGATAATCTTGTAGTAATGAGCTGATATCTTATAAACTCTGTAGTACTCTTCTTTCATTTTCTCTTAAAAGAGTTTTTTAGAAGTTTAATAAAACTATATAAGTGTAAAATTTCTGAAGCAGTTAGAGAAAAGAGATATTTGAAATTAATAAAGATTAATATTATCAATCTGTAGACTGCTGCTATTCTAATAGAGCTGCAGTCTGTAGAAAAAGTAAAAAGAGAGATCTCAGAGTCTACTTATTAATAATTATATTCTTATTAAACTCATTCTTCACTGTTGAAGTCTTCAGTACTGATATCTTTATCTATTATACAGTTAGCACTGCAGTGTTATAGAAGAGTATACTGCAGAAGAGTATAAGAAATATAAAAAGTATTAACTTATTAATTTATAAAGTATTTCAGTCATCTGCTTTAATTGAAGTGAGATTCTCTTTAATTAGTAATTAATCTCTGTGATGCTTTCAACAGTGATACTGACTGATCTCTTCTTCTTAAGACTGGTGATTCTGAGGTGTTTTTTCATCTCAGAGACTTATGCTTTTATCTTCTTTTACAGATAAGTAAGAGAGATCTTCTCAGTCTTGATAGAATCTGTCAATGTTTAAAGCTCTGAGACTTGTACTCTGTACTGCTTGAGTATCTGAGCTCTGTGTTAGAACTGATACAATGTCTTCTTGTAAGATAATACTTACAGAGAGATAGAAGTTATTGTTACAGATATAATGAAAATAATGAAAGTGCGAGAAGAAGTATATAAGATTTCTTCTTTCTTTAGCTGCTTAGCACAGTGTAAATATGTAATGATACTAGTCAGAGACTGCATCAGAGCCTTCTCACAGAGAGAAGATAAAGAAACTACAGAACTCTGTGAACTTAACTCAGCAGCATTCTAAGCAGAGCTCATATGTACTATAAGAGAGAAACTATAAATTACACTTCTTTGAGTTACTATTCTCAGAATCAAGCTCTCTCTGAGATTCTCTCTGAATAATTACACAGAGTCATACATTACTGTGTTGATTGAAGAGAGAGACAGTGTTGCAACAGCAGTGAGAGAGACAGAAAAAGAATCAGATACTATTGAATTAACTGACAGAAGAGATAACATCTCACTGCAAGATACAGCTTCTATCATCACAGTTATAAGAGATGTAGAAGAAGAAGAAGATGTGATAATAAGAGTAATGCTTCTGCAGTCTGTTAATACTGCTGTCACTTCCTTCAATCTGATCTTCTTAGCAGTTACAGAGACCGCAGCTGCAGTATGAAGACATTTGTTAATCACTAGAAAATATCAGAATAAGCTTCTTATTGTCTTTCAAGAATGATGCTCTCATACACTCACTATTACAAATGAGAAGAAGAAGAAAAAAGATATAATAGAGAAGAGAGATCTTTTCAAAAAATTCTATCACTACTGTTAACTTTGTCTCTAAAATATATCACTTTTGTAAGAAATTTCATATATAGAATAAGAATATAATAAAAGATCTGTAAGTTACTTTTTAAATATATTTTTCATATTTTAAATCAATATATAAGAAATTCACTTATGACTTATTTAATTTGAATAGAGATGAGAGAAAGAAGATCTATATAGTTAGTAGAGAAACTTATCTATTTCTTTGTATTATACACAGTATATATATAGTTAATCAGTTAATAACTGTTACTATATAACAAAGATGATTTCTAATCTGATAATCTTAAAAGTATCAGAACTATGTTCTTAAAGAGAAGAGTATTATTATATCTCTGACTATATCAAGACTCTGTTACAGTTTCACATAGCTTATTACTTTTCTTTAGATGATTTCATTCATTCTACAGACTATTCAAACTGATTTTCAATCATTCTATGATATTATTTAAATATAATATAGAAAGATATAATTAATGAATATAAGAATCTCACTTCTATATAAAATCAGCAGATTACTCTTTCATAGCAGTGAGATGCTACTGAGGTATCACTTCAGCTATTCTTACTTATAGAATAGAAGAGAAGTATCTGCTTATTATCTATATAGAATAGCTAGATACTGGCTTCTGATCAAAGAAGTCAGTAATTCATTTTCTTCTACTGAAATATATATAAGAGTTACTGCATTTCTTATACAATCTTCTTAGTACACTAAGTATTATATCTGTGATATTTTCACAATAACTCTGTAGTTCACAAGCTCACTATTTAAGCAAGATAGTCAAGCTCACTTATATGACTTCTTAAACAACTATCTCTCAGCTGTTGCTGACTCAACAGT